CCATCCTCGCGATGGCAGAAGGGCAGCCAGGAGGAAGCGCCACACGCTAAACACCCCGGCGGGCTGTTCGCCGCGCCCCCGCCCGCCGCGCCGCCCGCTCCCCCCCGCCCGCGAACCAAGCAAAGAGCCAGACTCCCAGGCACCTCCCACTCCCGGCACACCCTCGCTCAGCTCCTCCCCTGGCTTGCGCAGGCTCCACTCGAGACCGGGAGGCCATTGTGCGGGAACCGGACAGCGGGAGGTGATTGCTCCAAGTTTATTCCAGGACAGGGAAGCTGGCCGTGGACCGAATGTGGGGAAAGTGGATCGCTGACACCCAGGTGGGTCGTCAGGATATAAAAGGGTGGGCGGATGGGTAGATGGGCGCGCAGTGCCTCTTAGACGCAGCCGCGGGCGCGATAGGGTGCGGGTTCAATCCTTTCCCGCCGCTGCACTCAGTGGCATGGGACTCCGCCAATGGACTTCCAGCGTGGGGGAGCGAGTGTCCAATGAGGGAAAGCAGCCTCCGGAACCTCTACGTCCATTGGCCAGAGGGGATGTCAATCCCCGGTTCAGTTCCCCCTCTTGGGCTCGCACTTGCCGGCGATTAAACTTGCTCCGAGAGAGCGCGAAGCGAGCGCCAAGTTAGCACCTGCGAGTTCCGGTGCCGTCACGGGGTGCGGTCGGAGCAGACTCTCGGCTTCAGTGAATGGTTTTTCTGGTCGTGGGTCGGATGGGGAGTTCAGAGGGTGGTGGTTCACAAGTGCTCTAGGCAGGAGCACCTCAGCCCAAAGTCAAGGAGGTTTTGGATGGGAAGATGGGCAGTTGCCCATGGTGGGAATCCCCTTCCAGCTCCCCAGCTTCAAAGGACAAGAGTTTTACTCCTGAAAAGATACTTGGAGATAGGCTAGGTATTATTACCATTTTACCTCAGTGAGTCCTTTCCCTATCGGGTGCCATTCACCTCAATAGAATGAGACCAGGTTTAAGCACAGCAGAAACTTTGTTGATCAAGGGAGAAGGGGAGCTTATGCTCAAAGCACCTACTGGGGAGGGGGGCGTGCTGTGCTGAAGGGGCGTTTTGAAGGTCTCTTAGGGCATGTAGGTGGAGACTGGGGATTCCTAGAAAGAGATGGGGCTTTCCAGCTATCCAGGGAGAACTGGGGTGTGCATAGCCTCCTCCTTTTTGCACATGCACCAGATGTGCCTAGCAAGGGCATTTCTTCCCCTGGGCTGAGATTTTCATATTATAAAACGAAAGGCAGAAATCAGGCCTCGTGCCCTGGTAGCACCACTGGGCTCAGTTACTCAGCAGTTTGTGGTTACTGGTATCCGGTCTTTGTTTCTGTAAATCATGAACATATGCTAATTTCACAGGTTCTGGGACTTTCTCAAAGAATTGCACCCGTACTGCTGTGACGTTAGCAGCTGTTCCAAACAACGTGGTGCACATTTGGAGCAGGGGCAGAGTCAGAGGAGGAAGTGGGTAAAAGTGCAAATTTCATAGCCACACCCTAGACATAATGAATCAGAATCTTTGAGGGAGGAATCTGGAATCTTCTTTTTTAACAAACTCAAGAGGGACAAGTCACAGGAATAATAAAAGTTTGATATGGGCCAACTTCCTAATCTAGACATGAGGAAACTGAGATCTCTAAGAGGCATGCAAGGAGAGGGTTAGAAAAAAGTTACTCTCTGATCTTTTGGGGTGGTTCTTTCTTGGCTTAGGAAGTTTCCTCAGTTGCTGCTCTGATCAGTACACAGCTGAATAACATAGGGAAATCTTCATATATTCAGAGTTCTCTCTTCAGGTCCGTGTCCTGTGAACTCTTGTCACCTTGGTCTCTCAGCTTTGTCTCCTCAAATCTGAAATTTCAATTAGCTTTGCCTTGGTGCCCTGAACTGGTGTCTCCTGATTTGTTCTTATTTGCATAATGTCCAGTTCTTTGCAAACCGCTTTTTCATATATTTTGCTCATTTTGTTTTGTTTTCAGACTAGAGGGTAAATCCACTCCCTGTGGCCAGAATCCAAGGTAATGACTGCTTTAATATTCCTGACTACCAGTTCTATCATCTGTGTCACCTCTGGATCTGTTTCTATTCACAGATTTCTCTCCTCATATTTATAGGTCATATTTTCCTATTTCTTTTTATGGCTGGTAACATTTATTTTTTATTTTTTTAATTTTAGAGTTGTGGTGTAAAAAATTTATTATTTTTTTTTATTTTAGAGTTGTAGAGGATTTGCTACATAAATAAATTTCAGGCAGGTGAGGTTTGGGCAAGCCCTCTCTTCCTCTAGGAGTGGGCAAGGAACCAATAGGTGGTTGTGTGCCCCTTGTCCCCCCTCTTTCCCCGCCTCCTCCTGTTAGCAGTGCCCAGCATGTTGTCCCCACCTTTGTTATGACTGGAAACTTTTGACTAGATATCAAGCTTTGTTCATTACACATTTTGGGGTGCTAATACTTTTTATATTCCTGTCAATGCTTCTTGAGTTTTGTTCAAGAACACAGTTATGTTACTTGGACCATTTCTTACTTTTAAGGCTTGTTTTTGAACTTTGTTGGTGAGATCAGAGTGCTTTCAGCTTAGGACTAATCTTGTCCCTCTACAGTGACAGTATTCTTCTGAGTACTCTGCCAGACTTCATGAATTATAGAGTTTTCAAGTCTGAGTTTTAGGAACAGAGGACATTCCTCAGGAATGTTTCCACCAATTTTTGGGTGGTTCTTTCCCTAGCTTCCAACAGTTTCTTCACATTCATACACTGACTGGTATTTAGCTGAAATTTCACTTCAAATTTCCACTGCAGATCTCTAGCACTCTCTTTGCCTGTACGACTGTAGCTCTCTTCTCTCAAGTATTCTACCCTACAAGCTTCAGCCATCTTGACCTCCCAAGATTCCCAGCTTGTCTTCTTAACTCAGGGAAACTTCCAGGCTCTGCCTTTTCCCCTCCCTGAAATATGCTCTGGAAACTCTCTCCATGCAGTAAGCTAGGCAGCTATAGGGTTTACCTCATTTGATTTCCCTCTCAGAGATAAAAGATTTCTTTCTGTTCTACACTGCCTAATGTACAGTGTTTGAAAGTTGTTGTTATATACATTTATCTTGTCTTTCTTTTTTATCATTTCAGGTGGGAGAGTAAATTCAATCTTTGTGTCTCCATCTTGACCAGTAGTAGAAGTTAGTTATAATCTCTTTGAACTTATCATGAATTCCATAAAGACTGAAAATGAGTCATTCAGTACTATAGAAGAGGTCCAGAGTACCAGGCCTAAAGTTTTAAAGGTATATCTACTCGTTTACTATTCCTCACTGGAACAGTAACGTAACCATAGGACCATATTTGGTTGTTGGAAGTGGTGTAAGTTCTTAAAGAATTGTACTTGTAATCCCTTTTCTTGTGTTGTTTAAATTTGGAGAGATTACATATACATATATATATGTATATGCTTGGGAAAAGCAAAATGATATATAGTATTATATGTATAGTTAACAATGCAAAGATGTCTTAAGACAATGAGGTGACTAGCAAACAATAAAGACACTAGAAATAATTGGCAGTATAGACAAGTGAAAATAGTAATATTGCTACTATTTACTGAGAAAACACTGTATCTGGAATTATGTCTGTCACTTCATATGGATTATCTCATTTAACACAATAAAATTTTATGCAATATGTATTATTCTCATCCTTATTTTACAAGTGAAGAAAGTGAAACCCAACTTGCTTAAAGTTGCAAAAGTAATGGACTTCAGAGGAAGAATTTGAACCCAGGTGGTCAGACTTCAGTGAGTTTTTCACCCACATATGCAACATAGTAATACTAAATTCAAATATAGACAAGTGTTTTTAGAGTACAGAGAGAAGAATGATTAATTCAGACTCAATGAATTAAAGCGGTGTCATATGAAAAATTCTTAAAGAATGAATAATACATTTAAAATAGTCAAATTCATAGAAGTAGAAGTGTTTGCCAGGGAATGGAAGGAAGGAAACAAAGACATATTAGTCAAAGAGCATAAAGTTTCTGTTATACAAAAATAATAAGTTCTAGAGATCCATTCTACAGCATTGTGACTATAGTTAACAGTAGTGTATTGTATACTTAAACATTTGCTAAGAAGGCAGGTCTTCTTGTATTAAATATTCTGATCACAAAATTTAATAATAATAAATTAGAAGGCAAGAGGAAACTATTGGAGGTGATTGATAGGTTTATAGAATGCATTGTGGTTATGGTTTCATGGGTATATATACCTACTTCCAAACTCATTGAGTTGTATACATTAATTATATACAGGTTTTTACATGTCAACAATTAAATATTTTTTAAAGAATGAATAATATTTTACTAGGTAAGTGTACCAAGGATGAGGGAATAGCTTCAGTGAAGTCCTGTACATATGAAAACATATTTGGGTAACAGTGTGCCTGGACTCGATGCTATATAAGGTGAATTAAAGAATGTGATAGGCAAATAACGCTTTTTATGCAGGGAAGATAGTTTGGTATGAGATTACAGTTGGCTTTATATCAGGGAAATATTTTCTAACTGTGGAACAGTAACATGAATGTATGGATTCACAAGAATGGACAGTGAGTTCAGCTGAAAGAAGTCAGCAAAGATAGGTGGATTACAGCGGCCTCAGAGATCAGGCAATGCAAATCAGTGAAAGGGAAGATGATCATGAGAAGAGAGAAGATCCAGGCGATAACTGGGAAGAAGGTGGAGGAGGTGCTGGTGGTGTAGAAAAGTCTTCAGGTCCCTGGAATAAAACAGCTCCGGCCCAAACACCTCCTGCTCCTGTAATTGTTACAGAAACTCCAGAACCGGCAATGACTAGTGGTATGTATAGGCCTCCTGGGGCCAGATTAACCACAACGAGAAAAACACCACAAGGACCACCAGAAATAGACAGCGACACACAGTTCCCATCCCTGCAGTCAACTGCCAAGCACCTAGGAAGTTGGAAGGATAAAGAAATGGAGAAGAGCCTTGAAATAGTAAGACACAGAAATAGAGGCAGGGATGAGGTTTCCAAAAACCAGGCCCTTAAACTCCAACTAGACAACCAGCATGCTGTGCTTGAGAATCAGAAAAGCAGCCACTCACAGTACCAGTAAGGAATGGTCTTTGCTAGCCCTTCCCAGGTAACTAGACCACAGCCAACACCTCGAACAGCCACTTGTCATCCGCTCTCTGCTGGATCTACAGATTGATGCAGACCACTTGATCTCAGTGACCGACCATGTTGCACTGTGGAGGTTAATGTGTTACGACTGTCTTTGTGTATTGAATTTGATTTTCATGGCTATTTAAATGTGTGAACTAGGTGCAACAGTGTTCTTTCATAATTGCTCTGTGAATACAAAAACCAAAACCTTCAGCCAGTGGTCATTTTAAAATCTTTTTATGTTCAGATATTGAGCCTCCATAAGAGTTGACTACCTCAGATTTGTTGCACTCATGCAGACTTCATGTGTATCCAACTTCAGGACAAGAAGATTACAGCTGTTAAGTGTTGCCGATGTGGACCTTGGAACCGGCTCTACTGGGTTCTTTCCAGGAATCCTGCAGAAAGTCAGCCATCTGAGTTCTGATCTGCTGTAAAAGTTGAAGATTTAGGTGACCTTAATTAACCTGTCCTGTGCCCAACCTTTAAGGAATACTCTCTATAGTAGGCTGTGGCTCTGTTAGCCTTCCTAGAATATGCCGCTCAAAAGAACTCGTGTGTTCAGAACATTTCTGTAGAACTGTGATTTGTAATTTGAATTTTTAGTTGTATTCTGTGGTAACCACAAATTAAATTCACCATCTTGAGTCCACTAAGTGGGAAAACGGGGTGAGGGAGAAAATAACCTTGTTTCTTTTAGTAACCTTTTATTTGGATAGTGCTTTATTTTTGTTCCACATTAAGGCCTTTTTTGCTTTCAAAAATTAGCCGGGCATGGTAGCGTGTACCTGTAGTTCCAGCTACTTGGAAGGCGGAGGCGGAAGGATCGCCGGAGCCCAGCAGGTCGAGGCTGCAGTGGCTGGGGGCAGCCACTGCACTCTAGTCTGGGCGACAGAGTGAGACTCCAACTCAAAAAAAAAAGAAATAAGTTCTTCGTCAGAGCATATCACTTGGTGAAGTAAGTAACCAGTATGCATTAGAATTGTGAAATGTCTCGTGAGTTTGCCAATCCTGAGGGTGGAACCAAATAGCCTTTGAGGTAAAGGGCGTTAGATGCCCTGAGGTCTACTTCAGGTGCTTACAGCCTCTCTAATCAGGTCTAAATGGTGTGGTCAGCTGCAGTTGAAGGAGTATGCTTTCTGCTCGGGCCAAAGGGCTCAATGACCTGTCCTTAGAAGTTTAAGCAGCGTGAGCAAAGCCTCAGCTAAAACCCAATTATGTTTCAAGGATTGTGCATGATCTCGATAAGAGTTCCTTATATACTTGTGCCCAGGCTTAAGTTATTGGACGTCCTGTAGATGCAGTCATTGTCCCAGCTGGCTGTTACCAACTTTTCAGTGTGTCATTATGTTGTTCATATGAGAGTCAGGACAAAAGGTGATGTAACACTTCTGTTTTCAGTAATTACAGCCTACGCTAGTAGTTTTTAGTCCTTAAAGGGGACTTGAGAAAGCCACTCAGGGTTACAGAAAAGTTTCTTTCCACCTAATGAGATAGCTAACTAATTTTGCATCTTTGGTCTAATGGAAACACTTCAAAGTGGCCCGTGACCACTTGATGCAGCATCTGGGTTTCTCTATAATAAATCCCTTTGCCAAATGCAGGAGTAGCAGACTAGCTACTGGCAAGAGTGAAGTGAGTGGTGAGTAAAACTTCTGATGTGGGAAAATTTTCCTATAGGAGTTCAGTCTTGATGAAAGTGTTGGTGCAGGAATCAGATTCCTAGGAAGATTACAGTGTTTCCTGATGGGACCTGCCAGCCACATCTGGGCATTACTTGAGGCCTCACGTAGGATGCCTGCCTTCTGATGTACTTGAGTAGCTGCACCAGCCAAGGGAGATTGGATGATTAAATCAAAAACAGGAGATTCTTGATTAAGCTGAAGATGTCATTTGGGAACCAAAAACCTTAACAAATAGTCTCCTGTACTTTGAAAAGTATGCTTTTTCTCCCCAGCAAAATGTTGGTTCTGTTATTGAGGAATGAACTGAGATAGGTATGTGGAGGTGTTATGTCACAGCATACTGTACCAGAAATTCGAAGGCCTGCAGCAGATTTAAATTCCAACTCTTGTTACACCCTCTTAAAAGATTGTGAAAATATCAAACTGTCCATGAATCAAATTTTAATACACTGTATGATGGGTGGATGAGGCTGTCCATTGTGCCATTTCCTTCTTTGAATTCTCAGGCATGGTTTGGCAGTGCAAGAACACTGTAACATTAACAAACTCAATAAAAAGTAAGCATATGGAAAAAAAGATGCAGGGTACAGTTCAGGGTTGGGTATACAAATGTTCATTATGCAGGTACCCTTGTTGATGAGATATGCCCCCTAACTTTCTAGTTTCCAAAAGCAATAATTTCTTTAGAATTGTTAATTATATAACTAAATATGTGAATAACATGGAAGTTTACAGATAAGCAATAAAAAAGCTTTATGGAATGACATATGCCCTAGAGTCAAATTATCCAAATTTATGTTCTGGTAAACATAAATTTGTATCTGCATGATGATGAAAAGTCACTTAAACTCTCTGTACTTCAGATGTCAATTAATTGTTACTGAAATCCAAACTATTCCAAAGTTTAGTGGTTTAAAACAACATTCATGTATAAAGTCTCATAATTATGTGGTTTGGCTGGACTAAACTGGCTGACTCTTCTATTCTGTGTTTGCTAAGGTCACTTATATTGTTGCAGCCAGTTCATAAGTTTTCTGGGACTAGAATATCTAAGGTGGCTTCAGTCACCAGCATTAGGCTGAGCCATTCTCTGTGCACATTGTATTTCATCATTTAGTAGTCCAGCATAAGTTTCTTTGTATGTTTTATGGATCTAAAGATTTAAATGGAAGTTGTAATGTTTTTAAGGCATATTCTAACAAGTTCTAGAGTAAACCTTTACTTCTGCCATATTTTATTGGTCACAGAGAGTCACAAAGCCATTTTCAATTCAAAATGTGTGTTTTGGAGGAAGGAGAGATAAATTCTGTCTTTTGATGGGAGAAGTGCTATGTGTGTGCAGTAATAGGAAAAATGTATAGCATCCATATTTGGAAATGATCAGCCATAGCCAGTAGTAAGAAGTACTGGAACAATTTTACATGTGCAATATTAAAATCTGGATGGTTATTCCTGAGCATAAAGAGTGGTGTGTCCAGAAAAAATACATTTTATTTTGAAAGGAAAGACATTCATATAAACAGTATCTAAGCCAAGTCACCCAGTGAATTGGGGCCCATAAACTAATATATTACTCCAGAACAAAAATTATGCCTTAATATGAAATATTTTTAGAACTGGAAACCCCAGGAATATGAGTTAAAGCAGCAGCAAAATAACTCAATGAAAATGGTGTCTCAAAGAAAAGAGCAAACTAAAACTCCTGTACTGGATGAGCATCTCTATCCCTATAAAAGTTACAAAATATTTTTAGAAATACATCTCCCAAAAGATTTTCAATATTTTACAACAGGAGATGTCATCAAGGTAGCTGACTAGAGGTGCCCAGTTCTAGCCTTCTCCACAAAGAAAGACCAAAACAACAAATAGATAACCACATGTTAAATGGAGTGTCTAGGAGAGAACACTGAAATTCAGAAAAGAAGTGTCAGAGACACTCTGAACATGGGGACTTGGAATGGCACCAAGAGAGGGAAATGAAGTACCCCATCACGATTGCCTCAGAGCCAAAACCTACATCTCACTGCAGGAAAATAAGCAGAAGACCCTTGGCAGTCCACATTCTCACCGAGGAGACTTGCAATCTTAGCAACAGGAGAACGATAAAGCCCTTTCAGGTCCTGAACCCAGTATAGAAAGCTGTGCATGGTCTAAGTGACTACATTATTCCACAGAGAAAATTTACATTGAGTGGCCCCCACCACTCAGGACCAAGACTGCTGCATCATGGCACCATTTTGAGAACAGAGCCAACAACCGAGTGCATCCTTTCATGGAACCCAATAACTCTTGCCTCACCATCTTCCTGGAGCCTCAATGACATCTCATCACATCTACCAGAGAGATGCAGTGGTTGCAACACCAGCTGGATTCACCAGTGCAGCCATGGCCCTGATACCCATGCCTATTCAGTGCCCTACACCCTGGCACATGACACTGGAGCACAGGCAGTACATCACAGAGGGGAAGCTGCCCTCAAGAAATAGAGAGCTGACACGCGTGCTCCTCAGAACTTTAGAGCTGCCTCCTGGGGACTGCCACCATTGCTGGTTACCCTACTCTTTCCAGAATGGAGCTGCTGTAAAACCCCAGGGGCATGAGAAGCAGCCCACCTGAAGCTCAGTGCTACCACTATTGATCCCATCCCTTCCAGAAGTGAAGTCATGGCATGCCCACTCATATTCACTTGCAGGAATCAAGAACTGGCCTATGCAGTGTGCCCACCCTCATCAAAGCTCTGCCATGACCTTTGCAAACAGCTGCAGCATTGGCCACTGAAGCACTCACAGACATTGACATTGAGTACAGATTAAAAAATCATTCAGCAACTACCCTATTGTAGGAAAACAAGTCTCAACAAATTTTTAAAAATCAAAATGATATCAAGTATATTTTCATACCAGAATGGAATAAGCTAGAAATCAATAACAAGAGGAACAATGGAAACTTTCCAGGCACATGGAAATTAAGCAACATGCTTATGAAAATGATGAGGGGTTCAAATTTTAAAATTAGGAAAAAAGGCCGAGCTCGGTGACTCAGCCTGTAATCCCAGTACTTTGGGAGGCCGAGGCAAGTGAATTGCCTGAGCCTGCAGGTTCAAGGTCAGCCCAGGCAACTTGACAAGACCTCATCTCTACACTAAAAACCAAAAATAAATCAGGCATGGTAGTTCTGGCCACTTGGAAGCCTGAGGCAGAAGAATCACCAGAGCCCAGTGAGTGTGCCACTGCACTCCAGCCTGGGCGATGGAGTGAGACTCCAACTAAAAAAAAAATTAAATTAAGAAAAAATTAAAACATTACTTAAAACTAATGGAAATAGAAATACAACATACCACACCCTACGAGATAAAACAAAACAGTGCTAAGAGAAAGGTGATAGCAATAAATGCTCTCATCAAAAAAGTAGAAATATTTCCAATGACTAGTCTCACAATGCACTTCAAGGAACAAAAAAAGTTACAATAAATCAAACCCAAAATTAGTAAAATAATAATAATAATAATAAAGATCAGAGTAGAACTAAATGAGCGACTTAAAGGAAAAACTACCAAAAATTAATAAAACCAAAGTTTTTTTAAAAAGATAAAC